CCTACATTTGTAAATAAACATCCACAAAGAAGACATCTCTCTATTTCTACCCCCTCCTAACCACATTCCCTGCCTATCCAGGCCATATTTCGAAGACAAAATCTAAAACCAAAGTTGATCCGTATACTAAAAACTTCTCCACCACCACTTACAAAGCAAAGCCTCATTCATATATTTTATCCTTATAATGCCAAGATCACCTTCACTCTTAGGGGTACAGATACGTTCTCACCTAAGCAAGTGATACTTCATTTCTTCCCCAAAAGACCTCCACAGAAAATTACGCATCAGTCTTTCAATTTTCTTTATCACTGAGGCTGACATTTGAATAAGAGGCATCAAGTAGATTAGTAAATTAGCTAAACAATAACTTAGCAATGTAACCCTACCACCCATAGACATGTATCTTGGTTTTCAACGATCCAATTTCACTTGGACTCTCTCTAACACCTTATCCCAAACTGCTATAGAGTGCCTAGAATTTGATATTAGCATTCCCAGATAAGTAAAAGGGAAAGAGCCCACCAAGCAACCCAAAAGATTTGCCAAATGTTAAATCAAGGTCGGAGAACAGTTAATATCTATCATTGAAGTCTTATGGAAATTGACCTTCAAACCCAATGCCACCTCACAACAATTTAAAAATCAAGCAATGTTTTTCACTTGCGTCTCATCTGTTTCACATAAAATAAGCGTATCATCCATATATTGCAAATAAGAAACTCTTGGACCCATCTCAGTCACTTGAAAATCAGAAAAATTCCCACAACCTTCCACTTTATGAATCATCAGGCTAAAACATTCTGCATAGATAGAAAAAAAAAATGGTGACATGGGGTCCCATGGCGAAGATCATTGGAAGCCTTAAAGAAACCAATAGGGCTTTCCTTAAAAAGTATTGAGAAATGAGCAAAGGATAAACATCCAAAGATCAAATTCCTCCATTTAGCCTCAAAACCCACATTCTTAAGAATTTCCATAAGTACCCCTTATTCAATTTTGTCATAAGCTTTTTCCATATCAAGTTTAATAATGGCTCCAGGAATTTGACTTCTCACTCTAGAATGAATACACTCTTGAGCCATTAAAATGCTATCGGTGATTTGACGATTCTGAATGAAAGCATATTGAGTATTAGAGATAAGAAAATGAAGACTGACTTCAATCTTTCAGCCAAGACCTTTGCCACAATCTTATAAAGACTGGTCAGAAGACTGATGGGCTTATCTGATAACTTTGTTGTCACTGAATTTTTAAGGATAAGAGCTATATAAGTGGCATTACCCCATTTGAATATCTCACCCCTAGTCATAAAAGCTCTAACCAGAATGAAAAAACTTAGTATTCAGATCACATTCCTTTAACCATTTTATCCTTGATATTTGCTTCCAATATAACTGTTTAGCTCTACGATGATCATGAAGAGATTTCAACTTCGAACTCCTTTCACCCATCAACTCCTCGGTTAACGCACCTATAGACTAAACGTGCTGATCCAAAGCTTCAATTCCACATAAGACCTCATCGATTGTGGATTGAACATTGAAATTATTCTCTTTTCTTTCAGACGATGAGCTTATGTTTAATATTGAACAGCTTTTTGTGCAATTGAAAATCCAAGGAATCAATAGAAATTGTGTTTTGACAGGTGGTTTTAATGACCAAACGATGAGCTTATGTTTTAATATAGATCATGTATACTTTCCCATGTGACAAGGTATACGTTTACCAAACCATCCTATTTTCTGTGCACCTCTCTTCAACTACTATTATTCCCCTCTCTCAGTCTCTTTCTCTCTCCATTGTGTTGATCAACCCAATGGGTGTTCTCATTGTTTATAGGTAGTGTTGGTCATTGTGGAAAACTGCTTTTAGTGGGCCCTTTATAAGCAATTATGTGGAGAGAAAAAGTTGATCTTGAGAGAGAGAGAGAGTGCTCTTGTGAAGTAGAGATTTTGCATTTTGGGCAAAAACCTAGCTACTATTTGTATCCTCTTTCGGATGGTTTTATTGTTATTTTCTATTGTAGGTGGAGCCATAGAGATGGAGTTGACAATGAAGGTTAGATCGATGGCTCTTTTGAGGTATTAGAAAGAAAAATCAGTGGTGCTTTACTGATTGTGATGTAATCCATCTATTTACCCAAATCTTGTAATTCTTTTATGCTAATAAAACGGTTTCCTTATCAGTTGCCCGTAGATGTAACCCGATTAGGGTGATTCACGTATATTTGTTTGTTTGTGGTGATAAGATTATTAGTTGTAGTAAGTTTGTAGTGGTTTTAGCTTTCATATTTTGCTTATCTTGATTTCCTTCTATTTTTTTCCAAATTCAATATACCATATATAGTTTTGGTATGTTTGGATTTTTTGGAATCGATTTGTCTGTGATAAACGAGTTGGTTTCAAGGCATTTTGATTTTGTTATAATGGGCGTTTACTGCAACCAAGGGTAATTGAGTTTCTAACAAGTGGTATCCAAGCTTGAGAGAAGTGTATAGTAATTTGAAACAATGGCTAGCTACAAATTGAACTACAGAAGTTTCATAGAATGAATAATTTTGAACTTTATAAAATAAAGTTCATGATATATTAGTGCAAAATTGTCTTTTATAAAATATTAGAAGGAAAATCTAAGAAACCAAAAAGCATGCAGGATTAAAAAGGTGCTCGCCATAATTCACTTGTGTTTAGTAAATTAAATACTATTTAATATAGTAGGAGAAAAGATGGCAATGGATTTATGGATACAGCTGGAGAGCTTAATACCAAACAGTCCCACATAAATTAATTTTTCTTAAAAAGAACATTGCATTCTTTGAGGACAAGAGATGAATATATACGAGGAACTTGAATGTGGTCTTAATAGGCGACGAGATGAGAAAAAGTAGACTTAGGTGGGCTGGCCATGTGCAGTGTTGGGCTAATACAACAATAGTCAAGAAGTGCTATTTGGTTCAAGTGGAAGGCAAGTAGTGAGAAAATATATGGTGATTTTTTGTCTTACTGAGAGTATGACCCTCGATAGAAAGAATAGAGAAACAAGATTCATGTAGCTGAACCCAAATCATTGGGACAAGACTTGGATGATGAGATGGTTTAGAGTGTCAGAACACTTGAAAAAATTCAACAACATACTTACCTAAATTGAGAGCGTCAGGGTGAGATAGGTAAGGAAGATAAGGCGGTGTCATTGCTATGTTCAATTCCAGAGTCTTGTAATAATCTTCTTACTACCTTGAGTTATAACAAGGACAAATCCCTCAATTTGGATTCGGTTTTTAGTGCACTTCTTGCCAGTGAACTTCAAAATAACGTATGGTTTGGTTACTCGATGGGTTAAAAAATTGATGTTCTAATGGCAAGCTACTAGTCAAATGAGTAGGGTAATTCATTAATAAATTCTTCAAGTGACAAATCTTACTTCCTACCGAAGTTGATGGGGTCTTATGAAAAGATTGTTGGTTTTGTAGCTAGCCCTACCACATAAAAAAAATTCTTGCAAAAGAATAAGGCTAGAGTTTGGGAATGGAAGATGAAGGTGAAACTAAAAATGAGGCCTACCAAATTGAAGAATCAACATCCAACTACATTGAAAATGAGGTGATAATGGTGGAATGCAATCCCATGTAGTATCACAGTTAGATTCATGATAGTAGAGTGTGCCCATATAGATTTTGCTTTGATACATATATGCCATATGAGGGCAGTTTCACATCAATTTGAAGTAACTCAAGGAGAAACTATTGGAATACCCTTCATTTGCATAAGGATGTATGATGGAATAGTTCGAACTCTTGAAAATATGTACCATGTATTGGATTTGAAGAATGGTTTGACTAAACTGTCTTCTTTTGATATAGAAGATTACATGTTTACCAATCAAGATGGAGTGCTCAAAGTCTCAAAAGAGACTCTAGTTATAATTAAAGGAGTCCGAGAAAAAAACTTGTATAAATTGTTAGTAAGCATAAATGTAAATAAAATAGTAAATTTGGTCATAGAGGAAGATCAAGCTCAAAATGGGGCATATGATTTGGCAATAGAAGATCTTGATGGTGCAAAGTAAAGTCTTGACAAGGATATTCAGCAAGGTGGAGAAATTGAGGATTTGGGATTTTCACAAGATGATGGAAGGCCAAAAGCACCTCATAAATTTTTTTCAAACCAATGCTCAAAATTTAGTGAAGGAAGGGCCGATTTAATTAAAGTGTTGCTTATAAATCTAGTGTTAATTTTGATCATTGCTATGCTTTGTATAAAAAATTTCATTTCACTTATTTTTTGCTTTCTTAATTGGCTTGGGATTAGCCATGGAATGAAAATTTGAAATCGAGTGAAATGCGTACTTCGGGTGGTTTCATGGGTGTACTCTATTGTAGACAAATCCATGGAGATGGAATCAACATGAGGGTTGGATTGATGGCTCTTTTGTGATTGTGAGCAAAATTGGTGTTGTTTTACTAATGGTGAGGTAACCCATGTATTGCCTAAATCTTGTAATTCTTACATGATAATGAAATCATTTATCGGCCGCTTGCCCCTAAATTGCTCCCGATTAATGTGAACCACTTATATTTATGTGTTTGTTGTGATATGGATTATTGTTTCTAGTGTGTTGTGGTTTTAACTTTTGTATTTCGTTTCTCTTTATTTCCTTTCATTTTCCCAAATTTATTATGTTGTATATTGTTTTTAGGTGCTTAACTTTCTTGAAATCGATTTGCCATAGGTGGTTGGTTTTGAATCATTGGATTTGTTGTAGTGGGAACTTCACTGCAACTAGGGGTAATCAAGCAAGTCTCAGTACCCAACACATTGCAGTAGATTTGAATGTATTCCTAAAGCCTCAGGTGACCCACATGTAAAATTGGCATCTTGTTTCAAAGATAAGAACATGTTTATATTTTGAAATTGTAAATTTTGAGAAAGAAGAATGTATGGGAAAAGGTATGGAGCATTCCTGTGACACATAAAATGAAGCTAATTCTGACAGGAAACGAAATGCTTGATCCCTTCTCTCTCATAACTTTTGGGATAATCCACTCAACGTCTTTCATCTTTCGCTTACAATAAAGGGAATGCAACATTTTCGTCATCCAAGCATTCCCTTATCCTTATTTCAGTGACATTCATGCCTGATGAGGGAAGAACTTCACAGCACTGTCTTCTACTCCCAGCCTGCAAAAAGTACCCAATTTTTCAAAATCATGGAGAGAGAAGTGACAAATACCTAGCAATACTCTTCAGACACACGCAAAAACCAAAAATCTTAGTTTATAACCAAAATTACCACTCTAATATCCTGCAACTCGGAAAAAATTCTGACTTCATCGACTATGTTTGGCAAACTCTGATTCAAGTTACAGGCCGAAATGCTTCGATCCTCTCTCCCAACATAAACCGTCTCAATGAGGTTAACAAATGGACTGACTGGTTTCACAGAATCAAAGAAGAAAACAGTGGGTTTTTCACACGGATCAGTGGAGAGAGGCCTGGTATTGAACATGAAGGAAAGGACCCCAGATTTCCTCCATGGCTTGAAGGTTTGTAAAGGTATGGTAAGAAAACCTGGGGGGTAAATCTTCTGGTAAATTTGAACAGAGTAGCCCCATGATACTGAGATAGACCAATTATGTTCTTTGTGATAGCATATGGATTGTTGTAGTAGTTGTGGGGGATTGGCTTTCGAAGCCTTTAGGAGAACTTTGAGGGCTTGAATCCTTGTCATGCCTGGGAATATGGGTGCTATATAATCAAGGTGGTGAAGTGAGAGCAACGGGGACATCGGGTGGGCTGATAGAAGGCCGTATATATCTCCTAATAGATCAATCTGTAACATAGTTGAGGGAAAAAAGAAAAATTACTCCACAAACCAAAAAAATTTAAAAGGAGTCTTACGTGTGTGTGACAGAGAGAGAGAGAGAGAGAGGAAAGACCACCTGATGAAACCCGGGCTCTTTTGTCAGGCGAACTCCAACCTCTGCAACACAAGACTGAATGATATGGTCACTCCCATAAAGTGTCTGATATCTTCTTATACAGTCATCAAAGATCCTTGACAAAGCCTTGGCCAAAGGATAACTCACTGCATAACCCCCTCCGCCGAAGGCCATGTCATACGAATGAGCCATGTTTTGCACCACACTTTCTGAATTTCCCCCAATATAAAAGTACTTGTTATGGTCATACTTTGCTAAAACCTTCACTAAATTATCAACAAAAAATACAGTATCATCATCCCCCATAACAAACCATCTCACATCACTTAGACCCAAATTGAAACTCTCTAGCAAAACCCTAGCCATTCGAATCGCAAACGGCATCTCATGCTTATTGTAGCCATTGAATATTGCTGTATTTTCTGAAATTCGAAAGGGAGGAGAAGAAGATGGCCATGGATACTTAGTTGGGGGACTGTCTAACCATACATGGCCTCTGGTTTTGTTGGGTTCCCACCAAAGATCGATATATGGACCCCTGTTTCTCCATGTTTTAGAAGAACCCGCTATACCAAATAGAATGTGGCCAATTTTGGTGGGACTTCTAAAATTATTGGAAAATGGGGAGCGGGAATTGGTTCTCTCTCTGGTTAACATCCAAGATGGGAAGCATTGTGACGACGGGAATGAAGGTTGAGATGAGAGTAAGAGGTACACTAGGCCAGCCACTAGAACTGCATGGAAGAGGAACCAACCAAACTTGGAGAAGATCACTGATAAATAACCACTAAATTTAGCAGAGAAATGAGCTATGCTTTCTCCAAGTTTGCTTAAGTTGTCTCCGACCAGCCTTTGAAGTGCCATTCCAGTTTGGATCAGAGGAAACTGTTGGGTTCTTGAGGTACTAAACCTAGTTCTGTAACATCTCGTAACTCATGGGTTCTGGGTTTCTTAGAGAACGAACATACACTGGCTTATAGGCTTTTAGAGAAGGAATTCAGAACTTTTTGTGGGTTTTTAGAGATCGAACATCAGATTAGCTTGTGGATTTTTACAGAGAGAAATTGATGCAACTCTCGGTTATGTAGCGAGAGAGATGCGCCAATTATCAACGATGTGTGTTTGTATTCCAAAAAGCTAGGCTTGGGTTGTTGTTTAATGTGAGAGGATTCTCTCAGGGAAGGCTGCGTTTTTAATGTGCTCCTCTTATATTATCTTGTAACGGCTAAATTTGGCGCGAAGTTTAAACTTTTTCCATCAAAATTCTCGAGTCTTTCTCGTGACTCTCATCACAAAGTTACCGTTGGATCCCGCGAATAAATGACCTAAATTTTGTGAACTTTTCCTACGTCCAAAAATATCTCCAAATCACTAAACTGCCCCTATCGAATGGTAAAAAGCCAGGGCACCCTTCCTTCCAGGACCATTTACACCAGTGAGCGTGGAAAAACGGTAATCTGGATCGGAACTGGTTGATTCGAATTGAGAATCAGTCGGGAGTCGGGTTTCATTTTTTCAAATTTTTTGATTTTTTAAATTATTTAATTAGGGGTGTTGAGATATGGGTTGCTGGTCAGCCAAACCAAATCAAAAATTTGGAGGGGCACCCTAGATCACCAATCCGTGTTTTAAGAGTTTGAGCTGTAAGTATCACCTACTTTATATGCTATAAACATTGGAACAACTCCAACTGTAAATAAGTCTTTTGGCAAATATCAGTTTGTTGAAGGTAGATAAGCCTCAAAAGGGAATGCAAAATAAGAATGGTTCTTTTCATTCAGGAATCAAGATCATTGGATAGGTCCAATGAAGTTCGATTGCAATCCGACTTGAGGCCAGCCGGACTTGAAATAGTGGGAGAATATTAGAGAGAGGAAGAGGGGACATTAACGAGAGTACAGTCTATAGAGACCGTAGGGCTAGTAATGGGTTGGGTGCCCGGGCCTTTAGTAAGTAGGATAATGTCGCTTAGGGCTGAGCCACCGCATACCTGACCTGATAGGTTGGTGATTGTCAAATTTATCATACTTATGTTTCATATCAAAAATTGAGGGTATTATGAAAAATAAATAAAAAAAAATGGGCGTCCTTGGTGAACAAGTGATGCCTATAAAAAAGATGGCTAAAGAAGATATAATACCCATCTTTTTGAAGGTCACTCATTTGGGAATGGATCTCCAAGATGGAGATTGGTCTCCAAAAGTGAGAGACATAACCTCCGAAAAAGAGGTATTCCCATGAGAATTGAGTTGATAAGGATTCCACTTTTAGAGAGAGAGAAAATCTCTCGGTTGCTTTCAAGGTTATCTTTCGGTTAGTGGAATTACAGTGGAAAAGAAGTCATTGATCGATGGTGTCACTCGGTCGGATAACATAATACCGATCCTTTTGAGGGTCACCCATTTGGAAAGGGATCTCCAAGATGGAAATTGGTCTCCAAGAGAGAGAGACATAGCCGCCGAAAGAGAGGTGGTATTCTTATGAAAATTGGGTTGGTAAGGCTTCCACATCTAGAAAGAGAAAATCACTCAGTTGCTCTCGTCCCATAACAGTATTACAATGGAAAAGAAGATATTGATCGACGGTATTGCTCGGTCGGTCGGAAGAGCGAGTTTATAAGGGAAGAACAATGATGGTCTTTTACCGATGTTTAGAGATAGATATTATCTCTTGTAACCCAAAAATGCAATCTTCATTGAGATAGAAGAATTCTACTTGATAAGGTTGTGGATGTAGCCCTACGAGGTGAACCACATAAATCATGTGTTGTGGTAGAGTGTTTTTTATGTTTGTTTTATTTCTTGTACTCAATCTATAGTTGTATTTATCGGCTTTGCATTTAGCCAATCATGTATACAATCTTGGGTAGGATCCCGGTATTTGGGATTACCGGTTCCGCAAGCTAGGGGTTATCGAGAACCCTAGAAGATCGAGTGCAAGGCTGGGCTGGGCTGGGCTGGGCTGGGCTAGGCTAGGTCGGGCTTGGGCCATGGCCATGACAGGGACGACCATGTTAAGCCTTATATGTTTATTTGTTCTTTCAACTTTTGTTTGTTTTTCTGTTAGGCCTGGCCTTGCCCAAACAAAGCTAGGGTCCTCGGTCCTTGCACGGCTCTTCTAGGCTGGGCTAGGGACTGGGGTCGGGCTCAGCCCATTGCCAGCCCTAAGAGAGAGGTAGAGATAGAGAAAGCAGAGTGCATCCAACCTGTTTTTTTTTTATTAAATTTTTTTAGGTAGTTCAGTAGGGATCAGACGCCTATCCATAACAGAAATGAAACTTAAGACGTCATATTGTGACACCCCGCCACTTTGACTACCTAACCTTAAACCTAAATCCCCAATGCAAATTATCTCCATAAACTAGCTAAAGAGGCATCTCCTAGAAGGCACAAAGTCGTGTGAATCACAGCTTAGAAGGAAAATGGGGAAATAGTTTCTTTTATATGGATACTTAATTCGAATCGGTACAAATCGTTGGGTGAAAAATTAATTTGCCTAGCTCGGTACATTTCAACAGGAAAGAAAGTCTACCTTGACCTTAACCATTTCATTTTGAGGGTGAAAATCCACAGCATAAATAAATACATTTGACTTCTTTCCTTGTGTGAAACTACTTCACGGTTTCTTCCCCCTTTTTTTTTAGAAGCCTTAAAAGGAAAAAGTTTATATAAAGATGAGGCCCTAAACAATCAAATTAAGACATACCTAAATTCACTAGAAGAGGTAGTTTCGATACTCAAAAATCTTCAAATCGATCGTCTTGACTTCATGATGTATGAATATGAGAAAAAATAACTTTCTATATATTGAAAATAGTGCATCTTATAATACATTTTTTAGACCATCAATTTTCAAGATTTTTAAACGCTTATAGATATCATCTATCTACACTATTTTTTTAAGCTTTAAATCTTACAAATAGATATGAAAATAAAATTTCAGGCTATCACAAAGATTTTCAATACTAAAATGACATATTTTGACACTATTTGAAGGTAAGGTTTATTTTGATTGTTTAGAACCTCAGCTTTGTACAAATCACACCCTATCTAAATGCCCCAAGGGGCTGGTCCGACAAGGAGGAACATGGAGACCGCGTTCGATTCCTTGGGTCCAGGAATGTTGGAGGATAGGTACCGCACTCGAGAGAGTGAGATAGGAAGTTATCTGCAATATGGGGCTAGTTAATAGCATTTCAATGGTGTTCCCAAATGGTATTTTTCAATTTTGAAATTTTTCAGCATTAAATTAAAGTAAGTTTAGAGGAAATTATCACTTGTTAAGGTCTCTACATCGAGGTACCTTCTAATTCCATATCAGAAGATGCCGTTTTGGTGTCTGAAAGCTTATGGCTCTTAAAATTTATTTTCGTTATAAAATTTAAATTTTCAAAAATGGTATTGATCAAGCAACAAATCCAGAAGCACTTGAAAATTTTGAAAATGTGGTATCCACATAATGTGTTACAAAGTGAATTAATTTTACAACTTTAAAAACTTTTTTCTTTTCAATATCCATATATCCAGAGTTCGAGATTGGTTTCTAGCGACAAAATAACCTTTTCTAATGGCTTTTCGAGGTGCTCCTTGCTTCTAGTATAAACTAACACATTATATACTTTTTTTCCTTTTTCTTCGAGGCATTATAAGTGGGAATGTTGTGAGCCCTAGCCCCACATGGGGTTGAAAGAGATGTATAAAGATGTGGTGATAAGAAGTACTTTTCCGCTTTTAGTAGTGATCTTTCAAAATGTAACATATGTTCATCAAATGAGAAACAAAGACATTGAAAAGCTCAAGATGACTTTGAAAATTAAATATACTTAATAAGTGATAGTGGTAGTGAACATTGCTCCCTAAACCTCCCTATCTTTTTTGCAAAGAATGAAACCATTCATCAAGTGAATACAAGCAACAAAATGATTTGGCGGAAAGGAAAAACTGCACACATATAAGAATTATATAAAGGAAATAAATTTTTCCGGGTTCCTTAAGGCTTAGGGTTGCCTTATCTATGCAAGGCTTCTTGACATTTAGAGGAACAATCTTAGATCTAAGAATTTAAATTGTATTCTTATCTAAATGTAGTAAACGTTACATATTTCTTGACGAAACGTTACATATTTCTCGACCTAGAATCAAATGCGATTTTAGAATCTATGAAATATAGAATTTTTTGAAACTGTTTTCCTTGGTATGCATGATAATGGATATGGAGATTAAGCATAGAAAACATGGATATGATGAGCATGATAATTATAGAGACCTGAGCCAAGGAAAAAGCAGGAGTCAGGAAACCAAGTGAATTGGAACCAACTTTTATATTTTCGAAATGAATAACCAAAAAGCTTTGAAGAAGCCATGATGTAGGGAGGTTGCCAGCAATGAGATGGTTGTGTTAATTGAATTTGCGAGATCATAGATTTCATCATAGTTCTAAACCTTAGGGTCGAAATATCAATTTTTCAAAAAAAGTTAGGGAGGATGGTGAAATTGAAAAATATAAAGCTAGATTGATTACTAAGGGTTTAAGACAAAAAGATGGTGTGGATAGTTGATACCCATGGCTAAAATGGCAATCATCCACGTACTTATTGCTTTAATTTCCATACTATCATCAATAAATTCACCAAATGAATATCAAAATAGCGTCGTTACATGGTGAGCTACATGAAAAAATATATTTGAAGCAGGCTGAAAGATATATGTCCTAAAAGGACAAGAGCACAGGGACTAAAAATCATGGTATCTTTACATGATATAGATGACAAGGTCATACTAAGTAGTAGCATCGAGTGCATTAAAGATACCGAAACAAAGATAGGAATCCAACTGAAGTAATTCTTGGAACCGAGATAATGAGAA